GATAATCCAATAGTAATTTGTTATTACTAAAAAGCTCATTATTGATTCTGAGTTTTAATTATGACGTAAGCTGCATTTTTTTAATATTTTTTTGTGGGCGATGCTAGGGCTGTTCCCTACCTGCCAACTTAATACTTATTGATTCTGACTCGGTAAACTTATCGATTCGGTCATCAGAAAATCTTCAGTTGTGCCAGAATTTATGAAATGAAAACAACCGTAAATTAATTTAGGCCGATGATTTTCAAAATTCTTAATTTTGGCCGGAAATTGTTTTTTTTTTATTTTTTAGCTACAAAGAAACTTGCTCTATGTAAAATTGGCTCAGGAACATTTTTCATTTAACGAGTACCTGTAGTTTCACTAGAAGAGTTTTACGTAATTTTTTTTTTTTTTGTCGCGCACTTTTTTGCGCGGCACCTAAGATAAATTATCTTTTCGCTTTTGATTATATTTTTGACAAATATGTTTACAGCTTTATGGTTAATAAATTTGTACGCGTTATAAATCAATCACTATGATAGAATGACGTTTCTAGTGGAATTCGTCAATTTATTAAATTCTCAAGGGTAAAAAAAAAAAAGGCAGAATTCGTGACGTATATGTAACCACATGTCAGGGAAATGGTTGTCAAGGAGATAGCTGTCGTGAAAATGGTTATGCCGGGGAATAATTGTCGGGAAAATAGTTGTCGGGTAAATGTTGGCAAACCGTATTAAGGTAGATTAAAATAAAAAAAAAAATATAAATTAAAAATCATATCACAACATCGAATCCAAGCCCATAAAAAAAAAAAAAAAAAATTCTATTAATGAAACTGTATACATCTCATTGTGAAAAATGTTCCTAAGCCAATTTTGCCATAGAGCAGACGACCAAAATTAAGAACTTTGAAGATCATAGAGATCATCGGCGCATTTTTTTTGTGCAATCACCAAATACAGAAATACAAAATAAAAAACAAGCTAACGAAAAAGGGTGTAATAAGACTTCCCTATTCGGAAATAGGCATAAATCATTTTCACACTAAATTCAGGTTAACAATCAAATATACAGTATAATATTGTATGATGAATACTCCAAGTCTAACCAAAAAAGGGATAAGAGATAACGTTTGTATATACACACTAATCTCACAAAAACTTTGGCACGTGAGTGGCTGTGTTTGTGACTCCAAAAAAAATCAAATAACTGTTATGCGTAGGTCCGGTGTACGGCGCTAACCCAACGTTGGACATACTGTAAGTTTTGGCATTGAAAAGTAAAATGAACAAAAAAAAAAATGAAGACAACGACAACAAAAAAAAAAAAAAAACTACAAAATAGAAATATCGTATAAGCGCGAAATAACGCCCATCTGCGCATTAATTAAATAAGATGATTTTCTGAATTACAGAATTAGATTATCATTGTCGCAATTATAAATTGTATATGCTAAATTGGGGTGCGTAATAATTCGGACGCCCCTGGGCGTTAATTTTGAGATCACATAAGCTATTTTTTTTTCTTTTTTTTTGAAAGATTTAATAACCGTTATTTCGTGCTTATCGCTATACGGTATTTTCCGTTAATAACCAAATTATTATCCGCCATAAGATCTGCTTACATATAAACAATGCTAAGATTTTAAAAAAAATCTACATGCATACGCCAAGCCGTTCTATATTCAAAATTTAAAATTTATGCATGATTTTTGAGACTTAGCTGGAGTCGATTTTCGGCCCCGAGTCAAACTTGGAACCGAACCCTAATTATGAGCTATAAATCACCCGCCAATATTTCACTCGCATGTGATAACTGTGGTATAACGCCGACACTGTATGATCCTGAAATATTTAATATTGCATGTGACTATGGACTCGGTCTCAAGGTTGACTCGGGACAGAATCAAAATAAAATTCGACTTCAAGAGACGAGTTGGACCAAGCCGGATTTTTAACATCCTACGGCTAGAAATCGGTCGCAAATAATTTTTCGTTTGATGAGTTATTATTTTGGGTAATCTAAATAAAATTTGTAAAAATAAACAGATCAAATTAATTTTTTTAGTAAATAATTTAATTAAAAGGATTTAACTAATTTTAACAGGGGGGTGATATCACATTTTATAATTTTGTTTAAAAAAAAATAAATTAAATTTACTATTAGAGGTTAGAGCAGTAGAATTAATGTTAAATTAAAATTAGAAACCTTTTATTTAAAAAACAGAAGGCTGGTTTTTTATAATAAACTTCTATATAATTACATCATATATATATGATCAAACATTTTTGTTTAGACCAAATTATGTTTTAATTTATAAAAAAAAAATCCTTTATATAAGCCCAATTTCTTTATAAGCACATTTTTAAAAATAATTACTATGTGCCCAATTGCGTAATTATAGCAGGATAACTTTATTTAAAGATTTATTTTTTGTTTACAAAGATTTTATAATGTTATTGGGTTTATACCGATAATTAGATGATACTACTAGGAGGAGTTAGCAAAATCTTAATTAAAAATAATATTAATAATAGATTTAATTTAATAAAAAAAATAATACAATATTTAAAATAAAAAATTATCTTTAAAATTTTTTTAACAAATTACAGTCAAACCTCTCTAAGTGCACACCTTTGGAATCACACTTTAATAACGCGCATATAAAAACAAGTGCATTTATAAAGATCAAGTTTATATTTAGGAAAGCACTTGGTCGTGCATTTAGAGAGTGTGTATACTTATAGAGGGCGCACTTAGAGAAGTCTGACTGTATATTTTTAAAAGAGAGTTTTCTTTTATTTTTATTTTTAACAGTTTAAACTTTGTCTAATTTATATATAAATCAAAAATTTATTATTTTTGTGTTATATTATTTGGACCAGCCATTAAAATTCAAATTTGTAAAAAGTTAATCTTTTGTTCTTAAATTTGGCGCCTTTTTATACGTATATATTAAACTATTTCACACTGTAATAACATAACAACACAGATCTCTACCCAACTTTAGCAAATGATTTGGCAGTTTACATAAGTAATACGTACGTACAGTAATATTACTTAGACTTACTGTATCTGGTATATTGTAATTTATATAAGTTATACTAGCAAATAATTTTGATCAAAAAATTTGCAAAAAAAATATATGTAAATTGGGTTAAGAAATAAATTTAATAATTATTTTATACTTGCACTGAAAAGAATAGATTACATTTTACATTTAACTAGTAATACATGTGAAATAATTTACACATTTCCTATTTTAATATTTGGATTGATTTTAATTCAAAGTAAATATTGTTTACTATGAAGATTCAATATGAAGATTCAAAGAAGTCAGAGTGACACATTGCAAAGTGCATCTACTAACGCTTTTCCTTCTTCTGATCCAAGTTCATTATAATAAAAATCTGGGGAAGTCAGTGTAGTGCTCTTGGAAAAGTGCATCTGTTAATGCTTTTTCTTCCTTTGATTCAAGCTCATTACCACTAAGATCTAAAAAGTTCTTGCAAAGTGCTTTCGTTAACTCGTTTAAATTTTTCATTTATTCTAAGAAAGATCCGGGTTGACGCACTTTTTTTGATTCTCAGGACTATACTGCTATTTCCGAGAATTTCTTTAAAAAGTTCTAATACTTTGTTTGAGAAATTGCCTTGCTCAAAATATTTCATGTAATTCATTCTCATTCTTCAAGTGTATTATTGTCTTGTACTGAAATATCGTATCAGGTAAATAAGAGGAGATGATGCCGTGATTTCAAGTGAATAGTGAATTTTGCAGGTACGTTTCTATTATTCTGATGATTTGAGGAAGTTTTGCTATTTGTGATGATGTTTCAAAATTTCATTAGGGATAAATTGTTTAAAATATTAAGGATTAATTTTATTTCTAGGCGATTAACACCAACACTCATTGAAAAGTTCAATATATTTCCAATCGTATTTAAAAATCCTCCAATGTCAAAGTCTGTAAATTTATTATATTCAAAAATAAAATGACCATCGAAAATAGCATTTCTAAGCTATTCTCCTAGTATACAGTATTTGCCATGATTTTCGTAACACTAATCTTGGTCAACTATCTGTCCGTACGTATGTACATACGTACTTACTAAAACAAGATATGACAATAACAATATAGAAGAGCGATATAAAATAAATGAGTATCAATAACAGTTATCTAATTTTTATATGAAAAAGAAAAGTGGAAAGATTAAAATCGAATTGAGCAAAAGACACGTGCGATGAAAGAAATTCAATCGCTCCTTGTAGAGACAATATAATATTATATTTAAGTTATAGCCATATCGTTATAGAGATTGTAGTTTTTAAATTTCTGCTCCAGTACATCTCTAGAGTTACCGTATATAATCAAGTAGCACGTTAAATTATCGACTTCAAAAAAAGTCATATATTTTGTCTCTATAAAGGTTGTACCATTTCGGTGACACGATTTTAGTTTTTATAATTTGGGCACAGCTTGCGTAATGTTGGCCAAATTTGAGTAATGCATTTCATATGCAGGCTACACAGTTTGTGCGTGAAATTTGAAATTTAACGATTTTGCCATTTAAACATTGAGGAAAAAATTCGGAAAATAATTAAAATAGTAATGAACATCAAGAAAAAAGGTAATCAGGGGCTGGTGGATACTTTTTTACCTTTTTGAAAATATCTATTGTTTCTTGAGTAATGAACAGTTACATCGCATCTAATTTTTTTATTGAGGCATCCAAAAATGTAAATTAAATCACATCTTTCAGGTTATCATACTATTTTTTGACGTAAAGATGACATCTTTTTGGTAATTTCATAATCGCTTAACATCACAACTACGCAATATGGAGAATGATAATGAGCAAAGCCACTTTGAAGAAGAAAAGTTCGTTTAATGGAATGAATCATTTTAGCCAAATACTGTCAATCTTACAATGGAATGGAAATATAACTATTTAGAAGACTTAAATTAAAGGATGGTAAAGATTTAAAGAGTGATGAACAAATGAAGATTCTGAAAGTTCTGAAGACTTCGATAATAAGGAAGATGAATTATTAAATCACCAAGATGATAAAAATGAATTATTAAATCACCAAGATGATAAAAATGACGGAACGCAACGGTGTATACTTTCTTCCACTGTGATCAAAATCGGTCACGTGATTTTGCGAACTTAACTTTTGATATAAGAAACTCTCGATATAAAAAAGACTAATTCGATATAAGAAAGGTTTTGTAAAATTTTTATATTAAAATTTACTTGTATTGATCATTAATATTGCATTACTATATACAGTATAACCTTGATTTTATATCAATACATTTAAAAATTAAATTAAAGTAAGGGACAGCATAAGATATTCACGATTCATAAAAATAAAACCCTTCAATTTTCATATATTAAGGCGCCAAATTTGAGAAATGTAAAATTAAAAAGTAGATAAATTTTGATTGGATCATTTCGCGTGATTACTAATAGATATCATTAAAGCACTGTAGGCTCAATCTACATACAGTATATTGTAAACAAACACCAAGTAATCTTATTGAACTATTTCTATTTAGTAAATACAACGATTAAATATTTCAAATATCAATAAGTTTATTGGAAGTTCATTTAAATTTTATACTGTCAAAAATAATTTTTCCAAAAATGTAGCTTTATTCAAAAAAATTATCAATTTTTGAAAGATTATTATTGTTATACCATTTTTATAAACCAGTTTTAATTGGGTATGTTGCTCCGTATTGTATAAAAACCTGTTTTAATTGGGTATGTTGTTCCGTATTGTATAATAAAGAAAATCTTATATAAATAAGGTTATAATAATTAATTATATATTTAGGTTTTTATAGCTGGCTGAGTCAATTTTTTTTTAAACGTTAAATACTGTATATCCGGATTATTTAAAATTTATTATTTTATATATATTGTTATATATTTAATTTATATATATATATATAAATATACAGTATGTATATAATTTAAAATTAAAGTCAGGTTACTAGCTATGAAAATAAAGAAAATATTTTTATATACGTAGTCTTAGTTGTCGGCAAAGTGAAACTTAAATTATATAGAATATAAATTATAAATTAATGCGTACAATCAACTCTCCTTAATGCACTGCTGTACTGTACACTGTAAATGACTGTACACTGTAAAATGCACTATCTGAATGCACAATCTGTCATGATGTACACTAAAGTTCATAAAGTTTCATAGAAAAAAATATTTAATAAATGCACCCGCCCTAAATGCACAAATGCACAATTGTCTATCCTATGCATTTATATGAGTTGATTGTAAAAAAAAAATTCATGACATTGGTTATTCTTAATGAACGTATCAAAAATTAGCAGAAATTAGCATTTTTGATTGGTTCCAATATCAGCTGATATTTACATAACGATCGATAGGAAGATAAAAAGAACACACAAACTTAAACAAATGATTATAAATGTATAATTAAATAATTATCAAATCTGAGTAACGTTATTATGAATGCGTATACATAGCAGCAGCAGATGGATAGAAATAGAATGACAGCAAATTTTTGTTACGGAGAGATATCGATATGAAAAACTATACGAAAGGACAATACCGATTTAAAAATGATTAACGTTAGAGATCGAACCAAATTAAAAATCGTGTAATCTCATTGAATAATCGGAAATTTATTTTGTATCAAATTGAGACTTAGAATGATGGTTTCAGATTGTGAAGTGTAACGTTTTAATATTTTTAATATTTTTTATATTTTTTATATTTTTTATATTTTTTATATTTTTTATATTTTTTATATTTTTTAATATTTTTTATATTTTTTAATTTTTTTTAATAATGATTAATTAGTATATACCGGTAGATCTTTTTTTTATACAAGAAAGTTATCATTAAATATCATTTAACGGTATTTTGTTACAATCATTCAAATAAGATCATTCAAATAAGATCATTCAAATAAGATCATTCAAATAAGATCATATAATAAGATCATATAATAAGATCATATAATAAGATCATATAATAAGATCATATAATAAGATCATATAATAAGATCATA